AATCCTTATAAAAATTGCAGATATTTAATTTTATTCTATATTAGTAACTACACAAACATCATACTAGATTAATTAATATTTAAAATGTGAATAATTTATTACATTAATTAATCATATAAAAGTTATTTTAAAAATTTGTTTTATTTTTGATGATAAATCAAATCTGGATAAATAAATTTATTAATTATATGAAATAAAAAATCTTTTGCAAAAAAGTAAGAAAGTTTTATGTGCTACTATTAAAAAATTAAAAATTAAAGATGAATTTTTTATTATATTTAATGCTTGATTATATATAATTTACATATAATTTTTAATTAAAATTTGAGAATCCTTTACAATTTTTTAAAAGGTTTAATTAATAATATTGTTTTTACTCACCTTAGAAGTATTGCTATTGTAATACTTTCACTTGTGATCCAGGAAAGTGTGCTTTATGATTTCTGCCGCTGGTTTATATACGAATTTTACCCTTGTTCGTTTGATTCAATGATAAGATTATGCAGATAATATGAATACGCGATATGAAAAATTAAGATATTTTAAATTTCATCCTTTCAACTATAGAAAAAATATAAATTATGCATCTTTAGTATTTACGTAGTTAAGAATCGATAATTATAATTACATGTGCAAGAATGTTGCAAAATAATTATTATATAAACAATAATAAAAATATTCAGTGATCTGGCACAATGTAACAGGAAATTGTAATTAATGTTCTGTTTTTAATCATTGGCACATTTAATCATTGGCAAATTATAGTTTAATACATTACATACTTTAATGTAATTATAATTTTATTAATTTGCAAAATATATTCTGTATTTCACATCTTTTAATTTTATATAATAAAATATGAGAAAAAATTAATATTTTAAAAAACATAGGTAATAAGAATCAAATATTAATTTTAGACATATAAGATGCTTGTACTACGTTATTATATTGTATAATGTTTAATAACAGGATAATTTATTTAGATTATGACAAATACAAATTATATAAGGAATACATATATAATTATATAAAATTATTTTTTGCTATTTGTTAGAAAAAGTTATTTAGAGAAAAAAATGTATTATGTCAACATCTTTTTATTAATAAAACAAAACATAAAATTTGAAATATTATATTTTACGTTTCTTTGTGACATTAAATTCAAACATCTTCAAATTCAACAATCTTTATTATATTAAAATATTATATTATAGAGATTATATTATATTATTCTTTATTATATATTAAGATTATCAAAAGAAATATAAATTAAATCAACTGTAATCTTACTTTTAAAATTCAATTGATAAGAGGTAAGTTATCGAAAATAATTGACATTTTCGTTGTTTATTATCCATTGCATATTATATAGTAAATCTCTTTTATCGCGTAAATACATGATAAAAGTTTCCAATGCGTCATATCGTCATTAAAATAGAAATCCCCTATAATTAATATAAAATAAGTCTCTGATGAAATATCAAATTACATTTTATGAAATAATTTTTTCAAAAAATATTTTATAAAACATTATTTAATTTTATAGTGATGCCAAAATTAAAATACGTTTTCTGAAAAATATTTGTCAGATCCTTAAAACAAATTGAGTAAAAAAGATAAGAAGGACGTTTTATATAAAAAGTTACATAGAATCTGAAATATTTGGGAAATTGCTTTTAATTTGTTTAATTTTGTTTATATACACAAATAAGATTTATTCTTTAGTGTCTAAATCTATTGAGAATTGATTCAAATAATTCTGAATCATATTTATATAATCCCAAAACGCTTTTTAATGTATTAAAATGTATTAAAATATAACTTTTCTTTCTCACAACAATCATTTTAAGAGATTGATTGACTCTGTCAATGATTTGTTCAATGCTGCAAAAGCTTGAGCATTATTGTTGCGTTTTTTGTATGTTCGAAATTTTTCAAGTTATAAGAGAAAACGAATTATGCGCCGTGTGCTACGAATGATTTTGGACGCTTGCACCTATAGAAAAATGATATTAGCGCAGATGTGGCACTAACATAAAAAAAGATTAAAAGGTGCTACAATTAATATTCGACTTTTTATATTAGAAGTGAAAAGAATATCTTTATTTGTGAACTAGTTACGTTTAGACAAAATCAAAACAGTAGAGACAACTTAAAATGAAAAGGAAGAAGGTAGGGACCAATGGTGCTTATATAATTAAAATTGTTACAATTTAATAAGCCTCGGAACTCACTATTGACGCGTCGTAATGAGAAGGCGTGAGAAGAATAAGTAAGATAGAATGAAATAAAGGAGACAGAATCTAGAGGAAGAATAAGGGGAAATCGGACGCTTAAACGACTGTCTTTGAGGGTTGCAGACAAAGAGGCCGTGCAGGGGTGAAAAAAGGAAAGGAAAGTGACAAAGGGGAAGAAACGCAAAAGCGTAGAGAAGAAATCGTCTTCGCGATCTCTTAACTTTTCCACTCAATATGGAGTTCAAACTATATCTCTTTTTTGCAATATAGCTTATTTTATAATATAGTTTTACAAAAGATTTAACACAATAGATAAATTCTTTCTGTTTTCTTTTTTTTTCTATTTCTTTCCTTCCTCATATATAAAGCAATACATAAGGCATACATAAAGCAAGTTTGTGTTAGTGATAAAATGGCAATAAACGAGAATGATATTTATTTAAAATAATTTTTTTACTAATACTTGAAATAATCTAATATAAAAACTTTATGAATATATTTTTATTTTTTTTTATAGTTGAAGTATAATATAATCGTTGGTTTAAAAACAAATTATGTAAAACATTTTAATGGAATAATTTATAAGAGAATATAATAAATTCTTTTTCTATTTTTCTGTTTCTATTTTTATTCAATTCTAATATTTTTATATTAAAAATATTTAAATTTTTGTCGATGTTCTTTTAATTACAAAAAATTAATAATAATTAATTACTTTGTAATGTTTTATAATAAATCAGTTTTGCTCCGTAAAGATAACTTAATTAATTAAATAAATTTAATTTTCCTTAATTTCTGTTCTTTTTTTTTAAAAACGGAATTTAGAAATCTTTTGTATCGCTATGTTTAATTGGCAATGGCGGTAACATCGGCTTCATAATTGTACTTTGGAGGATCTCCGTTTCCTTCGAAGTTCCACCTGCACAACGGCGAATCATATCAAATTATTTTCTCCTGCTGGCCAGAAAACTTTTGCCCGATATTATGGCGGCATGTGGCGGTAACAGCCTGCTGTGCCGGTTCTATCGTTACCGACGTAACGGCCTCGAGGATTTTCACAGTAAAACAAGAAGAACCAACTAAGAAAATGTGTTCGGAATTGCATTAAGGCAGCTTTTGCCGTCAGGCAGAATAATCCCTGCGAGTAATCCCTGCTTCGATCGTTGCTTTACCGGTACGCAATAATAGATGCGAAACGCGTGTTATAAAGATGTATTTAGAATCTTGATGCAGAATTGCAAGATGGTACAAAAATGTTATATTAATTATAGTAGTTTATAGTATCGGCTATTAACCTTCACTTAATTAAGCACTCACGAATATCCATAATATTTGAAGTAAAAAGAAATTTTGCATAAAGTTTCACATATTATGTAATTTCTCAATAATTAATATTCATTTTTAAAATTTTGTTAATATTTATTATAAAAAATTTAATTGATATAATTCAGCTGCATTAATTTTACTTAAGAATAATTTAATTAATTATGTACATATTGCGATATAATCTTTTATTAATAATTAAAGCTATATTTATCGCTGATGATAAAAATCATTGTTCCTAGGCACAAACCAACCATCTGTGCCATGTGCAATCACTGAGCATAAAAACAGATATGACAAGTGATAGTATCTCAAGTGTTGATTTGATTGATAAACATTATACATTATTTTTACTATTGAGTTACTATTGAGTTTTATTAATATTTTATTTGACTATAATTATTTATATATAAATGCAATATTCATTTCTATAATATAAAAAATAATTTTTAAGACAACATTATTTATTCTTTGCAGTTATTATCATTTTTACATTTATTATTTCTATTTCTATTAATGCGGATTTCATTTATTTAAAATTATAATTAATAAAATTATATTTAATAGTTATATTTTTATCATATAAGTAACAAAATTAGCAACAATGTTATCTTAAAAGCCAATGTTCAATACTTATTAATTATATTTATCAAATATTATTTCTTTGTAGTCAATCAGAGATTTATATCTTTGTGAATCATTAATTGATAACTTAAGACACTTAAGAAAACAGGGGCAAATTTCAATATTTCAAGATATCAATTTTTCCTATATGCATCAATATGAAATCAGATAAAGCAAAGTCCAGTGAGTATCGTTCGTGTTCGTGTGTTCATTATCAAAGACATATCTTTTGGGTTTTCCATCGCAAAGAGCTTCTTTGATGTTGAGGCGCGAGCGATCGATTCCCAAAACGAATGGGAATGAGTGCCAATAAAGGCGTGGGGCGAGGGTGTCAAGCGAAAAAATTTGTGTTTTACGACACGTTATTCGACGGCGATGCCGGGTATTGGTGACCGACTAAACTCGGCCAATCGGAAGTCTCTCGTGTTTGATGGCAGAAAAAAGCTCGGGTGGACCGAGCGCAGGGAGCAAAGCGTTCTTTTACTCCCTTTAGTGTTACGTTCGTGTTACGTTGCTTGCCTTTCAGGAAGGCTCGTGGACAAAGAAAGACTCCAGGACGATTCTATGGTGCCGGAGAAGCGGAGAGGTTGCCCGCTCTAGAAAGTGGCAGAAAAGGTGGCCGTAACAAATCCTCCGCAAGTAATCGAGGTCGTGCCTCGGCAAGGTTTTACTCTCGAACACTTAACTCTATTGCGATTGGATTCTCTGGCTGCTTGTAGCGTGCACTTCACCGCGTCCCGCCCGTTTCGTTTTCTCGCTACTCTGCCGCTTTCACCCCGTAGCCGCGCTCGCCGTCCCCTTTGTCTCTTTCTGTACCGCTCCTCGACCACCTATACCGCGGAACACCTCGGTGGTTTCTTACACGTGGAAACCTTATTACAGGCGACACGATAAAATACCCCTGAGACGAAGGAGACCGTTGCTCGAGTGCCGGCACCACTATGAACTCTGACAGGGCGCAATGGGTAGAGACGATACAACGAGGATTGTACCCCGAGTGGTAATGGGAACTTTTAAAGATTGCACGTGAGGAAGATATATTCGGGAATGCGGGAGAAAAAAGGAATTTGTGGGAATAGTATTGTATAAGGCAGTGAGATATTGCCACCAACTATCAGTATTTTTTGGAATATTTTTCGAATATATGACAATTTTAATATTAACATGTTTGTAAGATAAGGAGATGATATATTATCATAGAGATCATAATAAAATATAAATAACTTCATTTAAAATTTAAGATTTTTTAAATTTTATTTGTAATCATATA